ATCTTTAAAGAAAATGCCAACAGGGATGATACCGTGAGCTCAGGACACCTAGTCCCGGGGCAGCTCAGTGTGTGTTCTAAGAATTTAGATACCTGCTTGTGGTTACAAAAACCATAGTTTTTGTTTTTTACTGTTCTGAACAAATATTGTGCTATTTGTAATTTTTAAAGTAAGACAACTTGGGGGTGATTTAATCTCAGTGCGCAGATCTTAGTCTTTTTTTATCCTCCCCCGAGGACATTTTTCCATTTTTTGTTCAAATAGAGTGGGAGGGAGAGAGAGAGAGAAACATTGACGTGAAAGGGACACATCGAGTGGCTGCCACCCGCACGACCAACCAGGGCCGGGGACAAACTGCAACCGAGGTACGCGCCCTTAGCGGGAACCGAACCCGGGTCTCTCCGGACCGCAGGCCGATGCTCTAACCACTGAGCCCAACCGGCCAGGGCGAATCTTAGGCTTTTAAACTGTCCACAGGATCGTGGTGTGTATTTCTGTGACTCGGTCTCCTCCGTGGCCAGGTTTAGGTTTCCACGGCTACAGACCACGCAGCTGGGAGTCTCTGACCCGCCTTCCGGTCACCCTCCAGGAGCCCTCACCCTTGTCCACAAGCTGTCCTTTATGTTATTTTCTAATTAACCCAAGTTCCTTCCACTCTAAAGTGACGGCTAGCTTGTTCACAGCCGATGATTTATCTACCACTGCGTATAGCGGGTGTGGCCTGTGAAATTCCGTGTTTTTGGAGTTTGTAGAAATTTCCTTTGTGGCAAAATTCTAAAGTCTGTTCATTTGCTTTTGAAAAGAAACTAAAACTTCTTCCTCTCAATGTCAGACTTTGAATCATGCTACTTGGATGCTCTCCCCCTGTTCTTGCCCCTCCCTCCGGGACTGACCTGTCGGGGCGGCTCCGCTACGTTCTAGGTCCCTTCTGGGTCGACGCTGCCTCTTCGGCGTGTCCCCCTGGCCCTGCGGTTACTTCGCCCTCACTTCAGGGTGTCTGACCAGACGCGGCTGCCCAGCTCCCGCTGCACCAGGGCTCCGGTTCCCTCACCCGCCTCCACGCCTTTCTTTGTACAGGAGACTTCACCACGTACACCTGTCAGCACGGCGTTTGGCTGCATTCCGACCTCGTTTTGTTTTCAACTTACTTCTTAAAACCCAGCCTTTGGTAAAGGCGGTTTCTCCTTCTCACTGTCGCTGTCCACACTGATGAGCCCCAGCCCTCAGCGCTGTGCCAGGCAGCTGTGGGATCGGGGTGCACCTCCTCGGTCCCCTCTGCAGAGCTCCCCGGCCCTTCTCGCCCTGTCGCCCTGTCCGCCGCAGCTCCACCCCTCCCCCTGCCTGTCGCCTGTCGCAGGCCCTGCGCAGCCAGCGTCTCTGCTCGAGAAGACCTGAAACTCGAGTCGGGAGAACCCTTGGCTAATACAGTGAAGCCTCCACGAGCCAGACTCATTCGGGGGTGTTCGCTGCAGCAGAAAGCCTGCTACATCATCCAGTAGGTTTCCCGAACGCTATGTTCAAATACTGACAAATCAGTTGACCTGTTTTCACTTACGTAGACACGTTTGTGTAATTAAGTATGAAAAGTTTCATTTCACAGAAAATCTTCACGTACATTACAATCATTTTACCTTTATACTGACTGGGTCTAGTAAATGTGTGCGCTCCCCAGTCCCGAGTGAACACGCCCACGGCTGGGCGTGGCTGGGCGCGCGTGGGAACATCGAAGGCACGTGTTGAAAGTGCGCAGAGTCCCGCCTCGAGACAGCAGAACCACGATGCGAGGTGACCACGTGCTGACCATTCCCGACACTGTTTCTGGGCCCTGACGCTTGGGCTCGAACATACAGACTAGTCGTAGACATGTAATCTTTACGTCGGCAAAACTGCTATAGTGTTTTTTCCAACATATGGCCTGTTCGTGAACATTTGTTCAAAATAACCGTGAATTAACAACAAAATATAACCTGCTAATTTAATTGTAAGCAAATCTTGGTTTAAAGCATTTTAAAATGAACAGGTGTTCACTTCCACATGTGACATACGGACCGGAAGTTCTGTGCGTTAAACCCGGAGTCTGTTACCCAAGGTGGGCAGACTCGAGGGCTGGCTCGGAAGGGCCAGCTGGCGTTGGCATCCAGACTCCCGAAGACTGAGGACCCACCACCCCTGCCCGAGTCAGGGTGCCATCCTGTGGAGCCCCAGCAAGCCCCTCCCTCAGCCCCGGGCCTGTAGCCAGCCACGAGAGCAGCTGCACAGGCGAGTCGGTGGCGAGACGTCAGGCCATGGAGGGCACAGCAGGACAGGCAGAGGCGCTGGACTCACTGCCGTCCTTCAGCGGCGCCAAGGCAATGCGCGTGCACAGGCTGCCCTGGGCGGGTTCCATCGGGTGAGGACGCACCAGCAACGGAAACAGGACCCTGAGGGGACACCCCTTTCCCCAGGACCTGCTCTTACCCATCTCTGCCCCGCAGCGTGGGGCCCACAGCGCCTTGGACCCTGGGACACGGTGACCTTTGGTCGCACGTCCCCGAATGACAGAAGGAAACAGGGACTGATATCCAGATTTCTGGAATAACGTAGAACCACCAGAGCGGAGCGGCTGAGTGAAAGGCGCAACAAGGTGACATTTCCCAGAGCGGCCTGCGAGCCACGGGCACGAGTGTTGCCCAGACATGGTCTGTGCGGGGACGTGCCGGAAGAGGTGGCCTCCCCACCCAAGGGCTGCTCGTCTTGCTTGTAAAAAAAAGGGTCCTCTGATAAAATTTTCTTCAGCATCAAAAGTTTAAACTTGGTCTTCATTATTAAACCTCCTCTCTGAAAATGAACAAAACTGGCTTACTCGAGAGGCAGATGACCGCGGGCACACAGTGGTGATGTCCACCCCGCAGATGACATTGTGTCCCTTCATCCGCGCGCGCCACAGACAAGCCTGCGCAGCAAGTGTCCGGCTAGCTCCACTCTCCTCCCCACTCTGCAGACAACTCTGGTTCTGCGATGCAAACGTCGGACGTAGACCACTGAACAAACCGTCCACCTCACGGAAGATCAGCAGAAACACGGCAGCAAGGCTACAGCTGGTGCACCGAGGAAAAACGTCACACCCTCAAGCCCGCTGACGTCACACGGCAGCCCCGGCCCGCTGCTCCGGCTGTGCCAGCTCCGCCCGAGGAGCAGGCCCTCTCTGGCAGCGACTCGCCTATGTGAGCAAGCACACCGACCAGCTGTGACACTTCCGAAACGTGAATTCATCAGTCACTCCTACAGCACATCAGCAAGAGTTCCGAGGCGCACAGCCAGGATGAGGGCCCAACCTGCTGAACAGAGACGAGGCGAGTAGGAAGAGCCCCAATCGGGGCCAGCGCACCAGACCCTCATCCGTCCCTGTCCCTGGACGGAGGACCTCAGGCAAGTATTCCGGGCCAGGAACCCTTCGTTTTAAAACCAAAGAGTTGGCTGGATGGTCCTCTAGAGCCCTACTTGGTTTAACTTTCCATGACTTTAAAATCTTTGACACAGGCCCAGCTGGTGTGGTCAGTGGTTGAGTGTCAACCCTGCACCAAGAGGTACTGGTTCAACTCCCGGTCAGGGCACATGCCCAGGATGTGGGCCCGATCCCCAGTGGGGGGCGTGCAGGAGGCGGCCAGTCGATATTCTCTCTCATCGATGCTTCTACGTCTCTCTCTCTCCCCCTTCCTCTCTCTCTAAAATCAATAAAGCAAAATAAAATCTTTGACACGGGCTCCTTGGCCTGTTATAAAACGAGACCTCTCACAATGCTAACCTGGCAGTTGGGTTGAGTCCAGCTCCGCCCATCACATGCGGTCAAGAGGTACCTCGGTGCTCCTGATCCGTCTCTACCTCTGAGCCTCACGTCAGCCTCCTCCTCAGGCTAATGGGCCATGATGACCCGTACGTATGTGAACTATGACACAATTTCCAACTGTTCTTTGTGAACATGCACAGAAGACGCACGTGACTCGAACTCTACCGATGCTAAATATGAACTCAGGTCCGGTGGGCGCGGAGGCCCCCGGCTGCCCTGTGAGTGTCACCGAGGTCCGGCGCAGGGTCACACACTCCCCGCACGGGTTAGGGTTCTGCAGGAGGGGCTGGGATTCCTTCAGTGACGGGGCTCTGCTCTGCTGTGAAGCCCCCTCTCGCCGCGTCACAGCCGGGCACCCACACCCTCCCTTTCGGAGCGCGTCCCTCCTTCCGGGTCGGGTCCGTCTTCCGTCCTGACAGACTCAGTGGGGGGGGGTCTCCATCATCTCCCCCTTTGACAGTTTAGTAGACGTTACCTCTTTCTTCCGAGGTCTAAATGTATCCTTATTTCTTCCTAATATTTCCATGTAATTCCCATGTCAGTTGTATTACACAATTCTGAATATTTAACTATGATCTGCATTACTCCATTTACAGTAATTTACAGAAATTACTCCATTTCAGTAAATATAAATGTCGAAGCAAAAGTACGTTGAAAATCCCAAGTTTTCTTAACAAACACTATCCTTTCGGCACTAAACGCTTCCCTTCGACAGCAGTGACTACAAGCCCTGAAGGTTGCCCACGTCTCTGAGCCACACCCCTCTCAGGGGGCAGGGAGCTGTCGCCACCAGTCTACACCCCAGGGGACTCAGGACATGTCCCCGGAGGGTCTCTCCAGACTGGGATCCCAGGAGGAAGGAATGGCACCAGCTACATGTTCTGTTGGCCTCTGCCTTTCTGTAATTTGTCTTGTAAAACAATACAGTTATTCCTGCTTTCCAAGATATAAAATTATTTTCATACTATTTTTCTCTATTACTGAATATGCTTTTTCAAACAACAGGTCCCTTCTCTCCCTCATTCCTTGTGAGGTTTTGATACAGTTTTTTGCGGGGACAAGACATCTCCCTCTTGAGAATCCCCGAACCAAACAAAACACAATTTCTGAAGTACCACCCACGGTAAAGCCCAGTAACGGAGTTTGAAGAAATAGTATTCAACTCAATGCACAGAGAAATTGTATTGCTGAAAAACATTGCATGATAGGACAGACATTATTGAACATATTCTGATTATTAAACCAAATTATTTAAGCTTTACACCAGAAAACTAACACCACACTTGTTTTGCAAGGGTCTGCGGAAACCATTCCAAATGCACCTTCACACAGGTCAATCATCGGAACAGATTCTACTGCTTTATTGTGTTCAAATAACGTCGTCTTCGTTTATATGGCTGACAGAGTTAGACCCTTATTTTCCACCCAATCTCAGGTATTTACAAATTTTTATCAGTTTCTACCTAGTTCAGCAGCTTAGAACTGATCTCTCTCCTGCAGGACGGCACGCTCCACGAACACGTGACTCGTGCCGCAGGACGGAGTTCACAGGAATATACAAACGCCGCGTGTCACGAACACTTGGAACGCTGGCGGAGAAACCGTCTGCACGTTTAGAACAATCCCCACGGAACTCTGAGAAAGCTTCCGAGAAGATACGAATGCATTTCTCCCCAAATTTTAAAAATGGTCGCCTGAAAGATGGAATAGAAAAGGTCTACCCAGGCCCCAGGACAGAGGCCTTGAGTGGATCACGCCAGTCCCGTGGTGGCGGACTCTCCGCGAACGGCCCGACGGCTCCGAGTCCCCGCGGGCGGCACAGGGAGGCCCTGCGGGGTCAGTGCTCCGCGTCCAGCAGCTTCGCGATGGTGTTCAGCTGGATGTTGGACGCTCCTTCGTATATCGTGCCTTAAACACAAGGACAGTGATCAGGAGCGGCCCCAGGGAAACGTTGAGTACAGAGAGAATCTGCCAACACCACCTCTGCACTGGCCACCACGCTGTCACTAGCAGCACCGTTCAAGTGCCCCCAGACATGCTGCTGACGAGGCACTTTTGCTGAAGAATCATTTTCCGCTTGGCAGTAAGATTCTGGTTCCAGAACCGGTATCACACAGGCGGAGGGCTGTTCCCAGATGGTCAGTGCAGAGCGTGGGTGTCATTCAGGACGGGCCGCTTTCGGTACTATGGCCTCCATCCCCCTACCTGGTCCAGAGCACCGGTCGCCCGGGCTGTGGGCCCTAGCTTCTGAAGTTAGAACTGAAGCCTCAAAGAACAGCATTAAACAAATCCAGCCCTGGCCAGTTTGGGTCAGTGGTTAGAGCATCAGCCCGCGGTCCAGAGAGACCCAGGTTCGGTTCCCGTAAGGGCACGTACCTCGGTTGTAGTTTGTCCCTGGCCCCAGTTGGGTGGTGCGGGAGGCAGCCACCTGATGTGTCCCTTTCACATCGATGTTTCTCTCTCTCCCTCTCTTCCTCTCTCTCCCTCCCACTCTATCTGAACAAAAATGGAAAAATGTCCTCAGGTGAGGATTAAAAAAAAAATCCAAAACTAATGTTTAGTAAGAGAAAGATTAAGACAGATTTTTTTAAAAAAAATTCTCACCTGAGGACATGTTTTTTTCATTGATTTTGAGAGAGGAAGGGGGCGAGAGAGAGGGAAAAACATCGATCAGGTGCCTCCCGTATACACCCTGACCAGGGATCAAACCCCCAACCTAGGTATGTGCCCTGACCGGAAATTGAACCTGCAGCCTTTTGGTGTACCGGACCACGCGCAACCGAGCAGCCCAGCCAGGGCAACACAGTCTGTTGAGGCATTTAAAGAGGCAACCTGAGCCCTGGCCGGTTTGGCTCAGCAGTTAGTGTCGGCCGGCAGACCAGAGAGTAACGGGTTCGGTTCCTGGTAAGGGCAGAACCTCAGATGCAGTTTGTCCCCGGCCCTGGTCGGTTGTGCGGGTGGCAGCCACTCGATGTGTCCCTTTCACATCGATGTTTCTCTCTCTCTCTCTCTCTCTGTTCCTCTCTCTCCCTCCCACTCTACCTGAACAAAAAATGGAAAAATGTCCTCCGGTGAGGATAAAAAAAAAGAAAAAAACAGGCAATGTGGTTTTTAAAAATAGAAATCCATTTTCAAGGACCAGGTGGGAAAAGCCCAGCTGTAGAAAGGAGTCTGCACACGGGACACAGGAGAGGCGAGGCCTCCTGCCCTGTCCCCCGCCACGCGACCGCCAGCCGCGCCCCCCCCCGCCCCCGCCACGCCCCGCCAGCCGCCCCCCCGCCCCCGCCACACCCCGCCAGCCGCCCCGCCGCCCCCGCCACGCCCCGCCAGCCGCCCCGCCGCCCCCGCCACACCCCGCAGCCGCCCCCCCCGCCCCCGCCACGCCCCCGCCACGCCCCGCCCCGCCAGCCGCCCCCCGCCCCGCCGCCCCTGCCACGCACCGCCAGCCGCCCACCTGCCCCCCGCCACGCACCGCCAGCCGCCCCGCCACCCCCCGCCAGCTGCCCCCCCCCCCCCCCCCACGCCCCGCCAGCTGCCCCCCCGCCCCCGCCACGCACCGCCAGCCGCCCACCTGCCCCCCGCCACGCACCGCCAGCCGCCGGGCAACCAAGCCTGACAAGAGGGAAATTCTTACCAATCTTGGCGTCTCGGAAGTACTTTTCCACGGGGTAATCTTTGGTGTAGCCGACGCCCCCCATCCACTCGATACATTTACTGGTCGTCAGTCCTGCCACCTACCAAACACAGAGGCAAAGGGCTGGCTGAGACCCGCCTGCTGCGCATGCCGGGCGCTGGCGCAGTGGGAGGCAGGCAGGGGTGACGCCGGTGGCCGGCGCTCAGACGGACGGCTGGGGACGAGCTTCGCGGGGCAGGGGGCCGGCGTGCAGCTGTGGAGGAGGGAGACTACTGCCCAGGCGGCCACGGCGGCCGAGGCGGCCGGCTCTCCAGCCCCGCCTGAGCCACCGCAGGGCGCGGCCGGCTCCTCCGGGTTCTCCCTGCAGCCGCCGCCCACGCGCTCACTGTGCCCCGCCAACCGGGTGGCCCATAGGGATGGGCCCACAGGGGGATGACGAGGGGTCTTCGGCCTGGGCTGGGCGACGGATTCCAGTGAAGAGCCTGCGAGAACCCGAGACCTCGCACACTAGAGCACTTCGTTCTCCGCCCCTGTGGGAACTGCCAAGCCCAGGTCGCTCCTCAGCGGCGGTCAGCGAGCACACGCGGGGCCAGGCCGAGTCGCGGGTTCTCACCTCCGACGCGTGGTACTTGGCCATCGCTGCCTCCTTCACGAACGGCCGCCCAGCGTCCACGAGCCTGGCAGCGTTGTAGGTCAGCAGCCTTGCAGCTTCCAGCTGGGTGGCCACGTGAGCCACCTGGTGTTGGAGCCCCTGCGACGGGGACCCCGAGACAGAACGATGACTTCCGAGGTCACAGCTCGCCCTCGGAGACCCGCCGACCCAGGGACGTGCCTCCCCCTCTAAGTGCCCCGAGACCTGCAGCCTGTCCTGAGCTGTGATCCTGTGTGTGCTAAGAGTTTCTCAGAGTTCGTGTAATTCATGACTGTCAAGATTTAAAAACTACATGATCACAAAATCAAGTTTAAAAATTTGATAGTTAATAATTGTCTTCAACCCCTCTGATGATCGAAGTTGAGGTTTAATGAAAGTCCAGCAAAGCAAAAACCTGAGTATATTTGTTATTTGCTTGAATGAACCAAACCTGACCCTGCAGCCCTGGCGGCCTGTCCCGGAGACCGCAGGCGGCGTGACCAAGTCCGTCTGCGGAGCTGAGAGCAGCCTCAACCCTCTAACTCCAGCCAAGCGCCACGCAGATAGATAGAACCAATGGTGTTTCTTTTTCTTTCTTTTTTTTTTTATCCTCACCAGAGGACATTTTTCCACTTTTTGTTCAGGTAGAGTGGGAGGGGGAGAGAGGAACAGAGAGAGAGAGAGAGAAACATCGATGTGAAAGGGACACATCGAGTGGCTGCCACCCGCACAACCGACCGGGGCCGGGGACAAACTGCAACCGAGGTACATGCCCTTAGCAGGAACCCAACCGGGTCTCTCAGGACCGCAGGCCGACGCTCTAATCGCTGAACCAAACCGGCCAGGGCCAATGGTGTTTCTTTTCAGGATCAAATTCTAAAAGTTCTCTTCTGATCACCCACACCAGGCAGCTGAGCAACGTCATGATCAGATCCGCCCGCCCGCCCCCAGCACACGGACACTGCTTCCTGGGCGCACGGGACCGACAGCCTCCCCGACGCGGTCCTCACGCCACCCGTCACCGCGACGTGCGCAGTGGCTGGCTCTGGGAAAGCACTCGTGGGACTTAAAGTGAAAATCAGACCAGAAGCCATGACAGAAACGCTGCAATTCTGACACCTCCCCAGGTGCGTCACCCTGGGAACACATCTCCACGCGTGAGATGGCGATGGTGCGCGAGCTGCGGCAGACCCCGGCCCGCCTGTGGTCTCACGTTCTGGCCCGTGAGCTGCCCTGCACACCCACGGCTTAGGGCCTCCCACACGTGCAGTGCTGGCCCGCACGACGCCGTCACTATTAGACCCTGAAGCAAGGCGGCAGGAGAGCTGCTCAAAGGGAGGTTTTGCGCCAGGTTAAGTGATTCCTCTGCGGTAGCAGGTGACACGCTCATGTAAGCTTGGTAAGCCGCCCTCCAGTCTGCCCGCCTGTGCGACCAGCGGAGGTCGCGTAAGTGAGTGGAGAGGAAGACTGCGCGTTGCCACCATCCAACCCCCGCCTGCCAGGGGGGCGCGGGGAAGCACGCACTGATGATGGGGGGGGAGGCCGGGGAAGCATGCACTGATGACACGGGGGGGGGGGCGCGGGGAAGCACACACCGATGACGGGGGGGTGGCGCGGGGAAGCACGCACCGATGATGGGGGGGGGCGGGGAAGCACGCACCGATGACGGGGGGGTGGCGCGGGGAAGCACGCACCAATGACATGGGAGGCGCGGGGAAGCACGCACCGGTGACGGGGCGGGGGGGGCGGGGAAGCACGCACCGATGATGGGGGGGGCGCGGGGAAGCACACACCGATGACGGGGGGGGGCGCGGGGAAGCACGCACCGATGACGGGGGGGTGGCGCGGGGAAGCACGCACCAATGACAGGGGGGGGCGCGGGGGAAGCACGCACCGGTGACGGGGGGGGGGGGGCGGGGAAGCACGCACCGATGATGGGGGGGCTGGGAAGCACGCACCGATGACGGGGGGGGGGGCGCGGGGAAGCACGCACCGATGACGGGGGGGGGGGGCGCGGGGAAGCACGCACCGATGACGGGGGGGGGGCGCGGGGAAGCACGCACCGATGACGGGGGGGGGCGCGGGGAAGCACCGCACCGAGACAGGGGGTGGGGGCGCGGGGAAGCACGCACCGATGACGGGGGGTGGCGTGGGGAAGCACGCACCGATGACGGGGGGGGGCGTGGGGAAGCACGCACCGATGACGGGGCGGGGGGGGCGGGGAAGCACGCACCGATGACGGGGGGGGGCGCGGGGAAGCACGCACCGATGACGGGGGGGGGCGCGGGGGAAGCACGCACCGATGACGGGGGGGGGCGCGGGAAGCACGCCACGATGACGGGGGGTGGCGCGGGGAAGCACGCACGGTGACGGGGGGGGGCGCGGGGAAGCACGCACACGTGGGGGGGTGGCGGGAAGCACGCACCGATGACGGGGGGTGGCGTGGGGAAGCACGCACCGGTGACGGGGCGGGGGGGGCGGGGAAGCACGCACCGTGAGGGGGGGGGCTGGGAAGCACGCACCGATGACGGGGGGCGGGGGAATCACGCACGATGACGGGGGGCGTGTAAGCACGCACACGATGCGGGAGGGGGCGCTGGGAAGCACGCACCGATGACGGGGGGGGGCGCGGGGAAGCACGCACCGATGACGGGGGGTGGCGCGGGGAAGCACGCACGTGCAGGGGGGGGGCCGCGGGGAGCACGCACCGTGAGGGGGGGGGCGGGGAAGCACGCACCGGTGACGGGGGGGCGCGGGGAAGCACGCACCGATGACGGGGCGGGGGGGGCGGGGAAGCACGCACCGATGACGGGGGGGGGGGGGAGCGGGAAGCACGCACCGATGACATGGGAGGCGCGGGGAAGCACGCACCGATGACGCGGGGGGGGGGGGGCCCGCGGGGAAACAAGCACCGAGGCCCCGGGGGTGGGGGGCCCGAGCTCGGAGAGGCGGGAACCTGTCCCAGGCCTACAGCGAGTGGGACAAAGGGCCCGGATGGAACCCAGGGAGCCGCCTGCAGACCCGTGTCCTGGAGCTTCTGAAGCTGTGAAGGGACAACTCCGAAGCCCGAAGCCCGAAGCCCGAATCAGGCCTGGCGGCCTCTGGACGGCGGTCTGTCCACCCCTCCCGCTGAAGGCCCGAGGGCTTGGCGACCGCTCTCATGGACAGGAAGGCAGGAGAGTGCGGTGCAGCTGAAAGATGCTACTAATTACATACCTGAAAATCAAATAATCTTTTGCCAAATTGCATCCTTTCTTTAATATATGGAATAGTGTAGTCAAAACATCCTTGAGCCAATCCCAGCATCTGTTAAAAAAAATATCAGAATCCCTCATCTTGTTGTAAGATTATGCTTTTAATTATGAAGTCAGCTCTCCTTCACAGCTGACTGAAGGGTCGGGGAGGAAGGGCCGGGGATCCCAGGGTGGTGGCACCGAGGGACCCGCACGGCCGCCGCGGAGCTGGACTGCTGGTGACCGGGAGTGCGTGGGTCTCCTGTGGACAGGGGCATGTTCGGTTCCGGCAGAAGCAACTCCCGCAGGGCTGTGCTCCCGACCCAGCCCACACTTCAGGGACCCCCCCTTTCAGCTCTGATTCCCCGGCATCGAGGGAGCTCAGAAACTCTGCTCAGAACTGACTTCAGGGACGGTGGGGGAGCCCTCGTCCTCGGGGCGTCAAGTGAAGAGGTCACTTCTTCACCTCCTGTCTTCTTGTCACTTGACCAGGACTGATAAGAGCTTTGGTTGAGCCCTGGCTGGTTTGGCTCAGTGGTCAGAGTGTCGGCCTGCGGACTAGAGAGACCCGGGTTTGGTTCCCGCTAAGGGCACGTACTTCGGTTGCCGTTTGTCCCCGGCCCTGGTTGGGGTTGTGCGGGTGGTAACCAGTCATTGTGTCTCTCTCACATCGATGTTTCTCTCCCTCTTCCTCCCTCTCGCTCTATCTGAAGATAAATGCAAAAAAAAAAAAAAAAATCCTCGGGTGAGGATAAAAAAAAAGCTTTGGTTGAAAAGAGCATTAGAACAGGAGAGAGCGTGTTGCTCAGACCTGGCTGCAATTAGAACTATCTGAGGGACCTGGGACCTTCATTAAAAACGCCGATGAGGCCCTGGCGGTGTGGTACAGTGGTTAGAAGCATCAGCCCGAGCACTGAAGGGTCACTGGTTCAATTCTCGGGCAAGGGCACGTACCTGGGTTGTAGATTTGATCTCCAGCCCCTCCGGGCACATGTAGGAGGCAACCAACTAATGTCTCTCTCTCCTCTCTCCCTCTCTTCCTTCCACTCTCTCTTTAAAAAAAAAAAAAAAAATCAATGGAAAACCCTGGGTGAGGATTAGCAAAAAAACAGAAGCCAACAAAATAAAAACACTGACATGGGGTCTAACACCTGTGCCCAAAGTGGGACAGGAAGGGGTGTGGCCGCAGCCCAGCCCATCAGAAACCCAGGAGGTGACCACACACAGAGCTGGACATGAGAACAGCCCATGGAAATCGTGAGGCACAGACCAGGGCACCGTGACAGTCCTGGCTGAACCTCCTCATCACTGACCAATCTCCAATCCACTGAACGAGTCAAGCTTCGAAATGGTCCCTAAATTCCAACGTTACTTAGTCATTAAATCACTATGTAATTACATCGTGCTATGTAGGCCTCAGAAAAAGAATCAATAGTTAAAGCTTTGGGGGGAAATGCCCCCCAAATCAGTATTTCATTAGTATTTGTTCACATTTTCCTTTGGCCTTTTATTTGGAACGGTCTGGAGAACAGGGTATCAGGCCAAAAGTTAAAGGGCAAGACCAAAGAAACAGACTCCAAAAGAGCGAGTTAAAGTGAGGCGGACTCACTGCACTTCTGGATATAAGGTGGCGTCGCCACACCCTTGTAGATACAGTGTTACTCCGTCAACACTGCCCTTCACCGAGGTGAACGCTGAAATAGCAGCTGTGGATCACAGCAGGCTCCCGCCTCTGTGAGATGCCTCCGCATGAGCTCTGAAGACTCAAGTCTCCGAGCACGGAGCTGAGGCGGCGCCTCTCCCTCTAACAGCGCCCGGTGTCAGCCACGACATGACCGCTACCGGGCCTCACTTCGGTCAGGCTCCAGATGACCGGCGCACTCTGACTCGCGCCCAGGCTGCGTGTGTCACTGCCAGACATCTGCACTGCCCACATGTCCAGGAATAGGAGGTCTGCCCAATGAAGCTGACAGTCAAGTCGAACAGGAGCAGGTAAGCCCATTCTCCAGTACCATGCGATTTAATTCTCCAGTGACATGCTATCCAATTCTCCAGTAACATGCTAATTCTCCAGTGACATGCTATCCAATTCTCCAGTGACATGCTATCCAAGTCTCCAGTGACATGCTACCAACTCTCCAGTGACATGCTATCCAATTCTCCAGTCACATGCTAATTCTCCAGTAACATGCGATCTAATTTTGTGGGGAAGTATATGTTATGATCTAAGAATATTTTGTTAGCAAGTTAACAGCAGCAGAAAAATGCCGAGTAACATTACTAATTAGCAGCATTTAACTAACCCAACAGGTAATAGACATGTAACATCTTCAGAAATCTGAAAGCTCTTCAGTTCTTAAATTCTGGGCACTTACTGATTAAAAGCAAATGAATGTGGTCTTCAAAAATGGCATAATTCACAATAAAACCAAATACTGTATTGTCTTAAATCTAGAAAATAATTATCACCTAATAGGAAAATAATATTACAAAGGGCCAATATGGCAGGAAGTCAAACAGTTCTCACCTTACATATCTCCTGAATTGTGCTATTTTACTTCGAGCATCCCTCACACACACACAAATCGCCTGAATTACACATGCAAAACACGAAGCAACAAGTATTTCATTATCTACAGATTAGAGACTTTTACTACATGGTACAGTGTTATTCTTTTTCTTTTTTAATCCTCACCCGAGGACATATTTCCAATGATCTTTTCAGGTGGAGGGAGGGAGGAAGGGAGGGAGGGACACAGCAACTGGTTGCCTCCTGCATGACCCCGACTGGGCTGGGGATCAAACCCGAGACTCTGGTCCACAGGCCAACTCTAACCTCTGAGCCAAACTGGCCAGGGCAATATTATTTATCCACTTATTTATTTTTAAATAAAGTGCACCCATTTTATTTTATTTTTAAAATTTTTTTGTTCATTCTCACCTAAGGTTATTTTTCCATTGATTTTTAGAGCGTGTGGAACATCAGTGTGAGAGAGACACAAGTATTGGCTGCCTCCGGCATGACCCTGACCGGGCCAGGTACGTGCCCTTGACCGAGAATCGAACCTGTGACCCTTCGGTCCACAGGCTGATGCGCTAACCGCTGAGCAAAACCGGGCAGGGCTTGTTTATTCTTCATTTGAAAAGTTCTTCCAGAATGAATTTCATGCTTTGAAAGCTGATTTTTTAAAAGTGCTGTACTGATGATGTTTTTCAGAAGTTACCGATCCAAGTGCTGGATAACACGCTCATGTTCCATAGAAAAACCGTCGCCAGGGCGCTGGTTGGGTCTCGGACCTCACGCCGGGACCAGAGGAACAGGAAAGCACAGGGCCCTCGCGCAGCGCCGGGGGGAAGGGCGCCCTCTTGTGTTCGCAAGCTTCCAATACGCCCTGGCTTTGCTGCATTTTCTCCTTCCCACATTTTCTTCCTCTTCCTGCATTTTAATTGACCCACAGGGTGGAGAGTCCAACGGTAAAATCTGACTAACCTGTGCCGCAATTCCTATTCTGCCTTCATTAAGGCTCCCTATGGCGTACTTATAGCCATGTCCAACTTGCCCCAGGATGTTGGCTTCTGGAACCTGAAAAAAAAAATGCAGTTATTTCTCCATTTAATCTGACACGATCCACTGTGGTTCCACGTGTCTAAATGCACACACTCCAGGTGCACTAGTGTGTGCACTAGTCCAGCACAGCCCTTCAGCTCCAAGGAGACCATCACCACAGCCGTGTCTGCACAGCCCACGGGGAGACAGGACCCCACTGCGTCCCCCGAGCCCAGCAGACGTTTGCTGGATGAATGAGTGAGTCTAGAAGGGACCCTCACAGGGCTCATCAACAACACAGAGGAGGAACGTTCTCCCCAACTCCGATCTGTCCGGCAGAGTATGGGGTGTGCAGGGAACTAGAGAAGACAAGTGAACACTTGCTAACGTGTGGGAGGCAAACCTCTCTCCTGTTGACACTACTGGCCCATAAAAGTGAAGTGGTGCATGTGCAACATGCACGTGTGTGCAGAGAGGAGATATTCTGTTTGTTCATAATTTTTAAAAATCTATGCTGGAAACAATACGAAACCACTGGCCTCAGGGTATGGAGCGAGATGACCGGGTGGGAAGGAGAGGACAGCGGAGGTGGGGCGGGAAGACGGCAGGAGTGGGGAGGCTCGGACAGCGGCAGCCGCAGCCCCGGAGCACACCCTCGCCCACGAGTGAGACCACGCTCTGACACGCGTGGTGGACCCCCCACAGCCTGCCCGGGCTGTGAAGCTCTCAGCACCAGCATCTGGGCAACGTCCTTCCTCGTGATACTCAACTCGAAACGGTGGGGCACTGCCGGGTGGCTCCCACTCTCCCTGAGCAACACCCCCACCTGGTGGCCTGTGGTGGCACCAGGCGTCCTTTGTTGAAGCTGTGCTGGGTTCCCAAGCGCCACGTTTATAAACGGGGTCATTGCTGACCTTGGCTCTTGAGGCCCGCTGGGCAATGAGGCATCCACTCTTGGGCTGAACTCTTGCGAAAAGTGCACTTAGTCGTGACCTAACCTATGCCCACAGTAAGTCTTACCCGGTCACCCCCTGTGCACGTCTGGGCACCTGTCCCGCACAACGGCAGCGGGCTCCCTGCGAAGCTGACTTCGCAGCAGTCACATCTTCACCGGGAATCCCGAGGTACCCACCTTGACGTTGTCAAGTGTTAACGGGCAGGTGGAAGAAGCCCTGATCCCCAGTTTGTTCTCTGCTTTCCCGACATGAAACCCTTCGGCATCGCGGTCGACGATGAAGCACGTAATTCCTTTATACCCCTGAGAAGAAGATGTAAGAGGTGACTACCACTTGGATTGATGAGGCCCCTTGTTTCCAAAGAGTTCAAAGTAAACAGAAAGCTAAAAACAAACTTTAGCAATAGTTATGAATGGGTCAGAACAGCAGCCAGTGCATTACGAACAAGAATCAGAGGGCATTGGATTCCAAGTCAGAGACGTCGTCTTCCTGTTACTCTTTCTGGAACAGGAGGGCTAGTAAAGGTCAGTCCCACTGCAGTCCCACATGACCGCGAGTACTCCAAGTCTCATATTTAATTTTATTGCTTTAAAGTTATAAAACTTAATTCAGTGAAATGTTACATTAGAGAAAAGACAAAAGTTAAAATGTATTTATTTTGCTATATGTCTATTTCCCAACTGAACACAATATTCTTAAAACTGAATGCACTAAATAGGTACTTAAATTTTTGAAATAGGAAATTCCACAGAATTAAAGATTACCATCCTACATGATGTATTAGGAGGTCATCAAGGGTGACCCCTGCAGTGGTTAGGTCGACAACAGGAGGTCGGTAAACAGAGGATGAAAAGACACCGCTGTCGAACATCTCGGCGCTGAGAAGGAAGAGCTGACGACCCCCGAGGAGGAGACGGAAGCAAAGACAGAGAGAAGGGGCGGGGAGAAGCAGCCGTGACTTGAACTGACCGCGCTCGGGTCCACGTTCGCCATCACCAGGAACAGTTCGGCCTCTCTGGCGCTGGTGATCCACATCTTGGACCCGCTGATGACATAGTAATCTCCCTTTTTATCAGCTCTGGTCTTCAAAGCAAATGAATCGCTACCTGCTCCGGCCTCTGAAAGGCAGAAGCTTCCTACCTACACATGGGAGGAAAATACCCCCAATTAATCATCATATTTATACTCTGTATAGGAATACTCACGGTGAAATAAACATTTGTAAACCAAATGTGTCGCTACTTTTGTTTATTTATTTGCTTTCTTACTATTTTAGAGAGAGGAAGGGAGAGGGAGAGCAAAAGAAACATCAACATGAGAAACACCGATCACTGCCTCCCTCGATCCTACTGGGATCGAGCTGACAATGGCCAGGACCTCTCAGTCCACGGGACACTCAACCACGGGCCACACTGGCCAGGACCTCTCAGTCCACGGGACACTCAACCACTGGGCCACACTGGCCAGGACCTCTCAGTCCACGGGACGCTCAACCACTGGGCCACACTGGCCAGGACTGTGTAGCTACTTTTAAAACCTGTACTTATCAAAATAGTAACGGTACCGTGACATAATGGTATTATTTTCCAAAACACCCTGTTTGTCTAGGACAGTCTACAGACCTAAGTACACAGACACAATGTTCAGTTTATTAAACCGGCTCTCACGCTTACAGTAGAAAGACATGTGAGTGGAGCCACCAGTGAAGGTATCACAAAATACAGTTGAGACAAAAACTGATCGATTTGTTGCCTTCCAATTCTGCCTACATTTCCAAGTGGCGGGCGAGCGGCACTGATGTGCTGAGCGCGACCTGGTCCGTGGGACGCTGCGCTGCGTCTGGAAGTGGGTCGGCGTCACAGGTACTTTTCTCCTGAAATGCACACCGAGCACAGGAGGCCCCGTCCACGCCCACACCTGTCAGCTCACCTTCTTGGTAGCGAGCTGGGTCAAGTAGGCAGCCTTCTGCTCCTCTGTCCCGTGCTTTCGAATCAGCCCATTGACCACTGTGTTCTGGACGTCACATATCAAAGCCACCGACGCGTCGACTTTGGATAACTCCTCCACCACCAGGACGAAGGAGAAAAACGAAGCCCCGGTCCCTCCGTACTTGGTGTCGACGTCGACCGCCATCAGCTGCGGGAAGACGGGGACAGAGTGGGGGCGCTACTCTCATGTGGCAAAATTTCTTGCAAGAACAAGTTGAAACATAAATTGGAACCACACAAGTTCTAAATTTTAAAATCTGTATGTGTAATTTATTTATATATACCTATATACATATATATACACACACACATATACACACACACATATACACATATATGTATATAACAGCCCTGGCCAGTTTTGCTCAGTGGTTAGAGCATCAGCCTGTGGACCAGAGAGTCACGGGTTCGATTCTGGTCAAGGACACGCACCTGGGTTGTGGTTCAGTCTCAGCCCTGATTGGGGTCATGTGGGAGGCAACCAGTTGATGTGTCCCTCTCACATTGATGTTTCTCTCTCTCTCTCCCTTTCCACTCTATCTGAAGACAAATGGAAAAATATATATATATACACATATAAAACAAATCATACATATTTGAAAAGATGAAGTCAATGCTCCAACTATTTGTTTCCATTTGCGATCTAAAAAACAAAAGTAAGGGGTGGGATGTTTGGAAAGAGAATGGAACGCGACAGCGAGGAAATATCTACTATGGACTCTGATGACCTTTGCCACTAAGAACCGGCCTTGCCTACTGGACAGCGGCCGGCGGGGCTGGTTGGGGCGTCAACATGGCCCTTCTACTGACTTCCCCTCGTGAGGGTGTCGTTTCGTCCGACACCATCGCTCCGCCAGCCTCCTCCACCGGACTCTTCAGTGATTCGGTGGCCATTCCACTAGGCCACTGTGGCAAATGCAGGTGGTTAGCAGACCACATGTGGCGGTGTCTCCTAGAACCACACTGGACGAGGCCCAGGTGCCCAAGGCGTGCCCGTAGCCGCTGGGCCAGTCAGCGACCACTCCTATGCTCCATCTCTGTGCCCTCATCTCAGGAAGAGATAGTGCACATGTAATTCAAGACCCCAAGCTGTCCACAGGTAGCAGGACAGTGCTCCTTCCTGTCTCTCCAGACACTGCAGTCCTGGGGACTTAGCCGCGTGAAGGGGGCCACCAGGGAGAGGAGCGACATGCCGCTCTGCGAGGGAGGACTGTGTGGCTCGGGTGAGCCTGGGGCAGGACGGCAGTGGCTGCTGATCACACCCAGCAGCTGTCAGAGACGCCGCTGCTCTAAAAGCAGCAGTTTCTCTCCATCGGAAAGGACGTTCTTGTCAGCTGTCCTCACAGGCCACACGTGAGCAGGGCTGAGGCTCAGGCCAAGCTGGGAAAGCTGGGGGAGGGGCACAACCCCGCAGGCCCCCGAGACCGCACAGCTGAGCAGGAGCGGGCTGAGGGGCTGGAGGCCCTCCGTGCTGTGGACGACCGGGAACTAGCCCTGCGAGGCGATGCTGAGACCCGACTCCTGACTTCTCAGAGAAGCCGGAGGGTCTGCAAACGAGACGATGAAGGCCATCTGAGAAGTGGACTCCCAGATGCCCTGTGACCGCTGCAGCCCACACGGGATTCCGTTTCCCCAGTATCACTGCTGAAAGGAAGTTGGGAAAACCACTACTACTCATGGTATAAAAGCTGGTCCTTCTAGAAAATATGTTTGTATTGATTTGTTTAGAGAGAAGGGAAGGGAGAGAGAGAGAAACATCACTTGAGAGAGAAACACCGATCGGCCGCCTCCTGCACGCCCCCTACCGGAGATGGAGCCCGCAACCCGGGCGTGTGCCCTGAATGGGAATCGAACCCGGACCTCTCAGTCCCTGGGAGGGTGCTCAATCCACAGACCACACCGGCCAGGCTAAAAAGTTGGTCTCTTTAAAATGAAGAGAAATGAAAACAATTTAGTTAAGTGGAAAAGGCTATTTTTCAAAAGGATGACAGACAGGATTTAAGCCAATGGCTCTGAACAGGAGCTGAGCTCTGGGCCATCCTAAGTGTTCAACAGAGGCGTCACTGCACACCTGCGGGGGGCGCAAGGGCGAGCTGATGCCTCTCCCTCCCGCAGCAGAGCAGCGGACACTTCTGCAACGGGCAGTGTGCCCTACACAGCGGAAACCAGCTGCCCTGGGTCATGTGGGATCCAGACAGGGCCTCTGCCTCCAAGCCCACCCACACCGGGGCTCAGGCAGATGTTTGCTCTGAAGTTTTACTGACGGAGGACACCTTAGCCTCAGCATCACTGAGCCAGATCATTCTGGGGCGGCTGTCCTGTGCACTGCGGGGTGTTCAGCAGCACCCCCAGTGTGACAACCAGAAATGTCCCCAGACATTGCCACATGTCCCCTGGGGACATAGTAGCTCCTGGACAAGTACCAATGGTCAAAAGAAATCACTCTCTCTGGTTTCCAACCTTTTACTTAAAAAGCACAGTATTTCTCATTTAAAATGTTAATTCAATGTTTACAAATCTTTAGGCTCACGATCTGAAAGAGAACAGAGATCATTCTGGCCAGGAAATCAGAGTTCATTATTCTATCATCACAGTCCCTGAAGTGAAAAGCGTACATGCATTTTAACCCCAAAAAGTATTCACAAAAATTTAAAATCGAAAGAATTATGAATTCTATACCCCTTGTTGAAATAATCCTTGTATTACTGATTTCTCCATTTTTGAATTTTCATCCATTGTTGAAACCAAAGGAGCTATTTGTTCCTGGGCAAATTTTTTAACTGTAGGGAAAAAAAAAAATACTGGTGAGACTTTATTCTATTAGTATAACATGCATTACCTTTTTTCAAAAAAATTTTAAATCAATGTCAAAAAATTCCATTCACAAACAGATGAACAGGTTGCCCGGCCCGCGCGGGTCTCGTGACCACACACTGCGGCCCGACGCACGACTGGGTCGCGGAGGTCGCCGAGGTGCTCACCTGCGCTCTTCATCATGGCCTCCTCATCGGTGAACGTCTGCAGGGGGGCGCAGGGGAGCCCGCTGTGTGTCGGACTGAGCAGCGCTTCAGACTGGGAAGACCAGAGGGCCCGAGGCGTCTTCCAAGAAGACAGGCAAGTCGGGTAGTTTCTTCCTAGCTGTAAAAACAGTTGTCGTTGAATAGGGAACACACACACACGCACACGCACACGTGAATAGGGAACACATACACGGATAGGGAACACACACACGAATAGGGAACACACGCACACGCACACGTGAATAGGGAACACATACACGGATAGGGAACACACACGCACACGCACACACACATGCACATGTGAATAGGGAACACACACACCACATACACGGATAGGGAACACACACATGAATAGGGAACACACACAAGCACATGAATAGGGAACACACGTACGAACAGGGAACACGCGCGAACAGGGAACACGCGCGAACAGGGAACACGCGCACGCGAACAGGGAACACACGCGAACAGGGAACACACACGAACAGAGAACACGCGCGCGCGAACAGGGAACACACGCGAACAGGGAACACGCGCGAACAGGGAACACACGCGAACAGGGAACACGCGCGAACAGGGAACACACGCGAACAGGGAACACACACGAACAGAGAACACGCGCGCGCGAACAGGGAACACACGCGAACAGGGAACACACGCGAACAGGGAACACACACGAACAGAGAACACGCGCGCGCGAACAGAGAACACGCGCGCGCGAACAGGGAACACACGCGAACAGGGAACACACGCGAACAGGGAACACACGCGAACAGGGAACACACGCGAACAGGGAACACACGCGAACAGGGAACACACGCGAACAGGGAACACACGCGAACAGGGAAACAGCCCGAACCGGTAAACACCGAGCAACAGGAACACCACGAACAGGGAACACACACGAACAGGGAAACAAACGCGAACAGGACACACACAGCCAACAGGAACACCACCGAACAGGGAACACACGCGAACAGGGAACACACACGAACAGAACACGCGCGCGCGAACAGGGAACACGCGCGAACAGGGAACACGCGCGAACAGGGAACACGCGCACGCGAACAGGGAACACGCGCACGCGAACAGGGAACACACGCGAACAGGGAACACACGCGAACAGGGAACACACACGAACAGAACACGCGCGCGCGAACAGGGAACACACACGAACAGGGAACACACGCGAACAGGGAACACACGCGAACAGGGAACACACACGAACAGAGAACACGCGCGCGCGAACAGGGAACACACGCGAACAGGGAACACACACGAACAGAGAACACGCGCGCGCGAACAGGGAACACACGCGAACAGGGAACACACGCGAACAGAGAACACGCGCGCGCGAACAGAGAACACGCGCGCGCGAACAGGGAACACACGCGAACAGGGAACACACGCGAACAGAGAACACGCGCGCGAACAGGGAACACACGCGAACAGGGAACACACGCGAACAGAGAACACGCGCGCGCGAACAGGGAACACGCGCGCGAACAGGGAACACACGCGAACAGGGAACACACACGAACAGGGAACACACACGAACAGAGAACACACGCGAACAGGGAACACACACGAACAGGGAACACACACGAACAGGGAACACACGCGAACAGGGAACACGCGCGCGCGAACAGGGAACACACGCGAACAGGGAACACACGCGAACAGGGAACACGCGCGAACAGGGAACACGCGCGAACAGGGAACACACACGAACAGGGAACACGCGCGCGCGAACAGGGAACACACACGAACAGGGAACACACGCGAACAGGGAACACGCGCGAACAGGGAACACACGCGAACAGGGAACACACGCGAACAGGGAACACGCGCGCGCGAACAGGGAAACACAACGCGAACAGGGACCACACGAACAGGGAAACACGCGCGCTGAGCGGAACAGGAACATCACGCGAACAGGGAACACGTGCGAACAGGGAACACGCGCGAACAGGGAACACGCGCGAACAGGGAACACGCGCGAACAGGGAACACACACGAACAGAGAACACGCGCGCGCGAACAGGGAACACGCGCGAACAGGGAACACGCGCGAACAGGGAACACGCGCGCGCGAACAGGGAACACGCGCGAACAGGGAACACGCGGTAACAGAAGTGGCAGGACGACTTCCCGGGGAACAACTCCGAGGCCCTGTCTCACCACGCGTCACCGGACAGGGGAGCTAACCCAGCACCTTTGAGGTCACTTCGCGGAACAGAACCGGGCTCCCTGACGTGGGGGCGCACCCGCCGCCAGCCGCTAGGGAGACCCTCCCGCAGGTAACTGACTTGCCCCTCCGAGGAGACGCTTTTGGGGCGGAAGCCGCTCTCCGCCGCCCGCCGCCCTGCAGCTCGTCACGGGGTCGGGGGAAGCCTGCAGCCCAGGGCGCCGGTCTCGGCCCAGCACCGGCGTGAGCAGCTGTGACCCTGGCCAGCGATGGAGCCTGCCCCGGTCTCCCGTCCTGGTCTCCCTCCCGTGCGATCCGCAGCACGTCCGCTCGGGGTGAGGACCAACGAGCTGCCTGGGGCGGGGCGCAACTGCACAGGGCCGGTGAGCGTCGTGACTTCCCACGGGTCGCGGAGACCCAGGGCAGTCCCCGCAGACGCAGGCGGGGGTTAGCTCCGCCCGCTGCGAGGCTCGGACCTGCCCTGGCCCGTGTCTCGTGCCTGGAACCCTTCGGCGCTGACTGCTCCGCGGTGGACCTGCCACAATTTTACCGAAGAGAGACCACCCATTGTCAACGCTCGCGGTACTTCCCAGTGCTGTTTCGCGGAGTTCAAGTGCAGGGAACACAAATAGGAGCCAGTCTTTCCTGAGCCCAAACCACGGGAGTAAGAGAAGCCACAAAACCGCACACACGACGCGATTCTGTGCATACGAAGGAGGCAGAAAGGAGAGCAGAGCTGCCTGGGGCGGGGCGGGGCGGGGCGCAACTGCACAGGGCACGACTTCATCCTTCTGGGGGATGGAAACGTGCCCAAACTGGATGATGGTGACAGTTACACAACTCCGTAAATTTACTGAAAATCATGGTATCATGCACTTTGAAAGACTGAATCCTATGGTATGGAAATTATTCCTCAATCGAGCTGTTTAGGAGAAATGAGCGCTTTCCTTTGTTGAACAAAGTGAAGAGGCCGCAGGTGCCGCCCACGCGTGGTGTGTTCCAAGGGCAGTCTCACAGCTTCCGAGGAAGGGCGGGTGCTCCGGACGGGACAGCACAGGGTCCCGGAGCAGCCTGGCAGGAAACAGCCCCGTGCTGCAGGGCTGACAAGCAAATGTACTCATCACTGCACATGTTTTCTCAAGAGCTCTGATCATGCAGCGGAGTTTACTGAGATTGAGAGAGAAAAGAGAGGAGTCCCGTGCTCGACACCACGGGTCACTTTCCCACGCACCAGCAGCTCCGTGCCCAGGGCACAGGCACTCTGCTCTGGGGTCAACTGGGGAAAAGGCACTGACCAGGAGGAGGAAGACGTGTGTCTCCATTTCCGCACTCACGTGCTCTGTTTTGGGGACTGAGGCAGGAGTTGAGGGCAGCTGCCTGCAGCGTGTCTCCTTGTTAAGGGACAGGGACGTGAGCTGCGGGCTGGAAAGGAGGACGCGGTGCGCCAGGCGTCTTCTTCCTGATGAACCGGGAAGAATGAGGCCGGCAGGAGGGACAGGTAGGAGGTGGGAGGGCAGGGGCTCAGGAAGGGGCGCTGCTGAGGGGTGCTGCATAGCCGCAGGTGCACAGAAGGAAGAAGGAAGGAATGGCGTCTGGAGGAGGAAGAGAAGCGTGGCTGGTGGCGGGCTCTTGCGAGGGCCCCTCCACATACTGAATGAGCGAATCGGCTACCTTCCCGCAACAGCTCGCGCAACTCGCCTGTGACGTTTCCAAAGCTGCAACCGGCGCCACGTGTCTTTCTAGGGGAGAGTATTTACTTCTCTACACCCACGCCGGAATTCTTTGTGTCCCTAAGTCACTGTATCGTCTTCCTACCGAACTGTAGTTTTTTAATTTTTATTCAGAGCTGGAAGGCGTTTATTGAGATCAGCTTTCGTGTACCATACAGGTGCCGAGCTTTTCTCCGTCACCAGAGGTGGTACAGCTGGAGGTCCCCTGTTGCCACCAGGAGGTGGGCCAGACTGTGACGCCTACAATAGCCACGAGCAGCAATAAAGTCACCAGTATCATTCCACAAGACGCTGACTTTCTGTCACACGCCGGGTTTCAGTGCAGAGTTTTCGTCTGTGTTCTCCACCAGGCTCGCAAGGTCATCAATCATCTCGTTTTGTTCCTCCAGCTCACTCCCAATCTCTTGCCCCATCTGCTTCCTAAGTGTACTTTCAACAGAAAGCCCACCACTGAGAAACTCAAGCCAGTGGGTCTGGCGATAACACCACTCTCCCCCTGCCAGCTGGGAACCCCCGAACCCCAATGGTGCACTGAGAAAGTATAGGACCGCTTAACGCACGGCAACATTCTAGATCCGCAGGCTGTGACAGCAGAGGCAGTGAGTGTCCTCTGACAGTATGACGTGCTGGAGGGATGCAATCCACGGGCTGCTTGCCAGCGAACGGAGCCTCTTCAAGCAAAGCACTCGGTGTGGGTGTGCCCTGGGCTTTCCGGCAGAAAGTCGCCTTCCTGGTACTCGGACACGGGAAACGTCTCCTGGCCTCGCCTCTACCCGCACAGCCCAAGCCAATGATTTCTGACTGTCCCCTGCCCTTCCATGGTGACCGCAGCCTCCGCGGCTCTGGTGTCCCCGCCATCAAAATGACTCCCCACAGCTCTAAGCCACCGCATCATCACACTTTCCTGCACAGACAGAACTGCTCCCTGAACGGAAGCGGTACTTACGCCCAGCACTTCCCAAACCGTCCGACTGATCTGCTTTCTGCTCGGCCCACACGACTTCGGCGGCTCTCAGAAGTCAGCCCGGGGCCTGGGCTGCAGACAGGGCCAAAGCCCACGGACGGGGTGGGGTTAAAAGTACACCTTCATTTCACTAACCACTACCCAAAACATAGCATTTTCTTCAATTGTGAATATAGGCGACAAGTTACAGTAGTGTTACGTGTTCTCTGTGACTGTCACCAAAAAAAAATTACAGA